CCTAAGCTTCTATTCATTTACTGGGGGTATTGAATTAAACCTTGGAATGCAAATATATTTTTGAATAATTAAAAATAGAAATCGTGCAAAAATTTAATTAAATTTAAAATATTTTGCCAATATTTTATTTTCTACTGTTGAGATTCAAAATGCCTCGAAAAGGGTTAGAAATAGCTGATGAATTAGCATTACTTGAAGAATTACCTTCAGATCCAGAATCAGTGGTCTCTGAGGATGAAAGTGGAGGAGAAGGAAATACTCCTTTACCCCCATTCCCTCCTGCTTATGGAAATATAGAAGATGAAAGTGATGATCAGTCAGAAAATGATGATATAAATTTCCCAGGTCCTTCCAGAATTGCAGATGTAACATGGAATAAAATGCAGAATGTAGTGAAATCGTGCAGTGTTGGCTTGTGCATGTACCAAAAAGATAAAACATGCTTTGAACAGTTCCATAAAAAAATAACTTAGTTCTTTGACATTAAAAAAATTACTGTGCTTTTTAATATTCTATTGAGTTCTTTTTATCTATTTATCCCAATTTCCTTATTATGTACGTTCTTATGTTTTCACTGCTGCAAAAAAATGACATAAATTATAATTTTTTTTCTGATGATATACTTTGTAAAATAAAGTAAAAAATTTATATTTGATGCAATTTTTAAATGCAGTTTTTTTTTATTCGCAAATTTCGTCATTCATTGGAAATGCATACGGAAAAAGGTAAGTTGTTTTTTCCTGCTAACTCAGTAAGTTTCAAAGTACTAGACGCGTGCTGGTTTCACAGCGAAACCACCACCCACAGATTAATGGGCGGGAGTAGATTTTTTTTAATTCATATATTATTTGTCTCTAGGATTATAATATTCGATTTCTAGTATTTTTAGTTAAAAAAACTTTTAAAATAATATAGCGCACGTCAAAGGGTTAATGGTTCTGCGAACAAAAAAACCAAGCAAAATAACATTATGATTTTAAAACACAGAACTAAAATTTTTCTTTAAAAATAAATATAAAGTTTGATTTATTTCCTGTATGTCATTTTGATACTTTTTTGTCATTCTCTACTATATCAAGAGAGGCAGCAGTTTCAAGGACTGCCAGGAGGTTTTTTTTGTGCTTAATGCAAGCACATTTCATATTTTTTCTTTTCATAAAAAATATGTGTAAAGTTTTGATTCTTAATTTCTTTTTGGAACTAAATAAAATACCTCCATACTAAAGAAAATCATTTAGCAGCAAAAATCTGTAATGATCTATAATTTGGACAAGGAGAAATTTCTTTCCAGATGTAAAAAATAAATTTTGTAAATGATACTCATAGTAAAAGATCACATTTAATGCTGTTTGAGTAGAGAATAACTGATTTGTTATTCAGTTAAGCTGAGAGCTGGTGCCACAGCAGTTGCAGCTAGCAAAATTTTTAGAATTTCAAACATGCAGAGACTGTACTCGGCTACAAAATATCTTGAACCAACCAGGGATAAGACCCTGGTCGTATATAGTGACCTTGGTAGACCTGTGGTACCTGGTCGGACCTTAAGTATATGAAGGAATTTATTTATTTAGGTCTTGGATAAGCCTTAAGCATGCAGGAGAAATAGGCATAAGTAAAATAAATACAAAACTAATATAATTAAGGCTTATCTTCATGTGATAGAAGGAAAACAAAATGTGTTGGAACAACACATCTTTAGTTAGCAGTCTCATGATACATTCCTAATAGTGTACAGCAGATGCTACCTAAATTTTATGATAATAGCCATGAATTTGGAGGTTTTCCAATTGCAAGCAAAGAGCAAAATTTTTCATTTAATGGAATTTGTGAGGAAATATGGAGAAGTGGTAATAAATAAAATGACATTCAGAAGTTTTTCATCGCAATGACAATGCCCTAATCACCAATCAACTAATGGACAGTGAAATCTGTAGTATAGTTCTAAAGCTAGAAAAATTCGTTACCGACAGTGAAGTAAGTGTTCAAGATGAAAAATTTTGTTTGAAAATTTAGTGGGAATTTTCAACACAGTAATTGCAGGAATTTTATAAATGAACAGGAAATTATTTATAGAATTAAAAAGACAGTATTAGCACATAAAACAAAACGGCATAAATAGCTTACATTGAAAGAAATGTTCAACAAAATAAACAAATAAATATTGAGCTGCTTTTTTTTTTTTTTTTTTTTTTTTCCCCCCCTCTTTTTTCAAAATTTGGATTCTTTTAAGGCCATAAATGCTCCATTATTTCATGAAGTATTACATTGTATTTTTAATTTATATATGTCATTTTACTAGATATAACCTGATAATCTAATATAGAGAAAAATCACAAATCCAAAATTGCCCCAACAAATCCAAATCTCATACTTTGCACTGCACCACAAAAGCAGTTTAATATTACTTGTATAATGTTGATTTTTTAAAAAAACTGATTCCAAATCAGTGATGCCCAGTTAACTGGGATTCCCTGTATTTTGGGGAGGATTAATTATAAATACAATGGGAATATTATTAACAATCTAAGAAGCATTAAAATCAGTATCTAACAGAATTTTTTGGGGGAGGGGGCATAATATTAATGATTAGATAAAATTTTAAATATTCAATAATAATGGAGAACTTAATTAAAATTTAAAACAATTACTGTATGCAAATTAGTTAAAATGTGAATGCAAAATAAACAAGTGTAGAATTAAATTCAATCAAAAATGAAATTATTTGATGAAATTAAATTTCTACATATTTTAATTATTGTAAATGCAATCATACAAACTTAAAAATGTCTGTCAATGAACAAATAATAAAAATGAAGTGAAACTGGTATAACCTAGTTGTACTCTTAAAAGAAAATGTGCTGATTTCAAGCTATTTCCCTATTGTGAAATGTGACCCAAATGAGTTTCCCTTGCACAGTTTTCTCCACAAATTAGTTATAAACTGTGATATCAACACTTTTTATGAACTCCACTCATGCTGATGGCAAATACTACTAACTACAAAAAAAAAAAAAAAAAAAAAAAAAAAAAAAAAAATTTATGCAGACTTAATAATTTAAAAAATATACATACCTAAGAATTCACTGTAAAATACAAAATAATTTCTGTATTTTTTCCAGAAGATGTTTGAGTTTATCTTTAGCTAAACTTTTGAATTTGAGCCCTCTAATACAAATGGTAACATAACAATTATACAATTAGAGTGCAAAATTAAGAAAATCTGCAAATAACCAAAGGTAGTAATTATGCTGCTGAAGAATTATGCAAATATTCTGAGTTTAATATGTAAATATACATGCGCATGTCTGTGGCACCGTGATTGTGGCAGGGTTTTCTACGATTTCTGTTTTCATATTCCTTCATGATGATCACCTATTTCTCACAAGAGTTGGGTAAATAGGGTATCAGATAAAATGGAGCAGTCACATTTGTGTGTGGATGACAAAATGAGTTGGATAACTATCAGTAGATTGAAGACAGGCCAGTCAAAAGCATACGTGCCTACAGAGCTCAGTATAATGCCCAACATTGTCTGTAGTAAGTCAAGAATGTTAGAAGACACTGGATCTATATCGAGAAGACCTGGACAAGGTCAACCAAGATCTATGATGAAAAAGAATTTATGTTGAAAGTACTTTCAGAGTGATGATACAGGATTACAGCTTCAAAGCTCTCATGTGAGCTGTATGCTGCCACCAGAACCTGAGTTACATGGCCTACAGTTTCCAAAAGCTTTATGAGATAAGGAAGCCGAAGCCCCGCACACTGCAGCACGCAAGACAGTATGTTTAGCATGGTGCAGACAACATGCCTTGGACCAGACTTCAGTGGAGCACCATGCCTTTAACAGATGAGTCAAGATTCAGCCTGGACACTGATTCTCGACATACCAGTATCTGGAGAGAGCCTGGAAAACAACACCATCCCTCTCTCAGTAGAGAAAAGGGTTATTACGGTGATGGAGAAGTAAAGGTTTGGGCAAGCATTATGTTGGACGGCCGCACACCCCTGCTTGTGTTTTACAATAGCTCTGTGACTGCTATGAGGTATAGAGAGGAGATCAGAGAGGCCTACATTTGACTTTTCAGGGCACACTTGGTCCCAAGTTTCTATTAATAGATGACAACACTTGTACACATATTGGCTCAGCTGGTGAACAATTACCTGGAAAATGAAGATATTTGCTGTATGGATTAGCCAGCCAAATCTCCCAACCTTAATCCTAAAGAATATATCTGTGACGCTTATGGAAGAGCTATCCCATTTCATCTTGCTATTCCCTCAGAGAACCATCCCTACTATGGAGTTGAAAAGTACTTTGCTGTAGGAATGGGATTGACTGTCACGGGACTCTATAACTGCCTCCCATCTAATATGCTGTCCTGCTACACAATCTGTCTGACTGTGAGAAGGGGCCACATCCTATATCAAGCTCATTTTCAGTTCGATATCAAAATGCGAAGCTTGGGCGTCCCTACACTGTAAGCTTTACTGATAATTATTCACATGTAAAGTGACTTTTTAAAGGTGCATCACTTTCTCTGCCATAAATGTATATTCATACAAAATTTCGTTCAAATCTGTCCATTAGTTTTTTAGAAATTTGACATAATGTGCAAATTTTCTTTATTCTGCAAACAAGTGTATTTTTATGAACACTGCACAATGATACATCATATTTTCTTATTACAAATATTCATTTAAATTTTAAAAAAATTATTTCGTAGCTATAATTTTTCAATCATGAATTTAAAAAAATTCAACTCAACCTATGAGCAGAATAAAAAAAACAATTTTTGACAAATCTAATATATTAAAGTAGATATACTTTTGAAATAAATCAGAAAAATAAGCTCTTTTATAACTAAATACATTTTTTTAAATTATGAATACTCTAAAATATTTCATAACCTTTAAATATGGTAATGCAAACGGAATATCATACCTTAGAAAACAGACCCTATATAATTTTAAATAAGGCGGAAAAAGAAGACATGAAATCAGTCTATAAAATATAGTTTATTTTTAAAGGTCATAAAATGACAAACTTTACAATATACAGTTTTGATTTCTAAGATTTCTGTTACTCAAATAAACAATTTTATGCAATAACATTTTGTCACCATGGAAGCTAATTTAATAATGGTTTGATTATTAGCATCAAACTTAAGTTCTACAAATGAAATTTAAAAAAATTAAATAGTCACTATAGCTTTACAAGTACAACATTAAAATTTAAAAAATACCTCCATTCAAAAAAATTAATGCTTAAAGCTCTTGTATTTTTGAACAGTATATAATTTGTATGGTAGGAACAAATGTAAATAGATGCTTGCAAAAAAATAGTAATTCATATATTATATAATATACAATGCTGACTTAACTTTTTAAATATGATTTCTTTCATACATATTAAGTAGCAATGGTAAAAATACTCAACACTGAGAAATTCTTCGAGACAAAAGATTTCACTTTTGTACTAAATGTGTGATCACTTTTAAATTAGACTTTCATACTAAACTATTAAACCAACACCAATTAGATTTTACTCAAAAGAAATCACAACAAATGCTTTAAGACTTTTTTTAACTTGAAAGAAGAGACAGAGAAAGAGGGGGAAAAAAAGACAAATGCATAACTTCAAATAAAATAATTTGCACAAAATAGAAATGTATGTCAATAATTAAAATTCTTTTACAGAAAATTTATGATACACCAAATTTAGTGACAAGATCTCCATGAGGTTCCACTTCTACACTTCTTAGAGCTTGCTGGACATCAATAAAAGCATCATTCATCTACAAAGAAAAATGCACTGAATTAGAAATTAAATACCTTTAATAAAGGAATGAAAATTCTTGAAAATGATTCTCTAATTTTATAGATATACTCTCTAATTTTATAGATATATTTATAGTATTTAATAAGACACGGATTCTAAACAATATTCTCCTTATTTTTTATTTTTTATAGCTTTGAGATAAGATGATGTAGTTGCATGGAGCCCCAGGTAACACATCCAACTAACAGTACTACTGCTTACAGCAAACCTTCATTGGTTTGCCTTCCACCAAACTTCAAATCATGTCATCCGACTAAACAAAAGTTAGCTTCATTTTATTCCTTTGTTTTCCATGCACTTCAAGCTTGCTGCTCCAAACTGGCTCTTGATCAAGAACTAAATTATTTAAAAGCAGTAGCTACTGATAGGGGCTTTTCACCCAACATTATTAACCAAACAGTTAAAAAACTCTCGTCTCAACACACCAAAAAGCACACTCTTGTTTTAGGAGATTATAAGAATTCTGTTGTCATTCCTTTCTTTCCATCAATTAGCTATAAAATTGAATGTATTTTACAGAAATTTAACTTTCGGGTCGTCTATTCTCCCTATCAATAAAATTCCGAGTTCCATAGTTAAGGATCCCATTCCGGATATGAATTCCTGGGGTATCTACAGGATACCTTGCCAGTGTAGTTTAATTTACATTGGTCAAACTAAGACTTAAAATTTTGCATTAAAGAGCATAAGGCATATGTTAGGGAAAAAGAAATGTCCTCTGTTGCCCAGCATTCTTGGTCCGAAAATCACACTTTCCATTTTTCTGCAGCCAAAATTATTTAAAGACATCTTTCATTGGTAAATTAGATTTTCTAGATGCATTTCACATTTAAAAAGACTCTCTGTTCTAGTTAACAACACAATTCCAATCAATCTTTACCTTCAGCCTTTAAGGAAATTACGTTTTAGATTTCTTGTTTCATCAATAGATGGTGCCAGTAGCTTAACTCCTGTCCAGCCATTCTTATCTTATCACTATATCTTTTCTTATTCATTTGCTCTTCGGCAGCTGAGGTGATGGTTCAGTAAAACTAATGACTCCTGTGAAAAATTGCAAATATAACGCTGATTTTTGTTGTTTGACTTCTAAATTATTATTATTAGTATTGTTCTTGTTTATTTTCAAGTAATGCTCAATAATGATGGCTATCATATTCATAAATTATTTTAGGGTATTTTGCATTCATTTACAGATTAAGTATCATTTGGTGAAAACATGTGGTTATTAAAAATTTGCATAATAAAACTCTTTAAGGAGAAAACTAATGGATTTCAATTTCTCAGTTAAGTACTTAAAAATTTGATAAAATGTAATTTTTGTAAGTTTAGTGATTTTTAAATCACTCTGTAGATTAACATTAAGCAAAAATATTCTAAAGTTGTGCATTGTCAAAGAACCTAGAGTTTAAGGCCTACTAGAAGTATTAGTACAAGTTGGCAAGGCTAATACTAGCAGGGAGCAAGATGGTGGCATGTGGGCGGCAAAATTTAAGGGTGGCCAAATGATTATCAAACATATTATATTTCTGTAAAAAATGGCGGCAGGCATTCTAGAATTGGCGCTGAAAGTCGCTAAATTTTCGACGCACTAAACTCTGGTAACCATGCATATAACAATTCTTCCACTGTTCCCAGCCACTTTCATATGCATTCCTTTCCATTATATTTCAAGTTTGAACAAGTCAGAGATTTCAAGTTAGAGATAAATTATGTTTTTATTTGTCTTAAACTCAATTTTCAAACATACACTTGTATGAAAGAAATAGCAGTAAAATTTCTGCAGAAATGCTGTACAGTAAAAAGTCCGTAATCCGGACGCCCATTATCCGGAATGATTCTTTACACATGCGCGTAAAGAATGTGCATACATTACGCAAGCGTGCATTGAAAGAAATGTTTAATAAAGTAAACTAATAAATATTAAGTTTTTTTTTGTAAAATTTGATACCCTTTAGATCATAATTACTCTTTATTTCATAAATTACGGTTTTATATTTTTAATTGTATAATTTATGCATGCCATCTTACCAGATTTAAATTGATGATCTATAATCTGGAAAAACTGCTAATTTGAAATTGCTGAAGACCCGACGAATCCGGATTACAGACTTTGTGCTGTATTTTACTTTAAAATCAAAAGCCATGAGATCTCCATCATATCAATAGAAACTCAAATCTGCTTAGAAGTTTACTGATTGATTTTTAAGAAAAATACCTAATTAAAATGTAACATATATATATATTGTGCACATATGGGTTTGTAATAGACTGAATGCACGCAGGTCCAATGATGGGTTAATAAAATTTATTTTATCTAAAAAAGATTTCAGAGTTCTGGAACTTTCCACAAAAATACTGGTACAACTCTTCACAGTATTACAGAGCACAATCAGGTGTTACACTTGAAACTACTAGAAACGTTAAAAACAAGAGAATGTATAGTGCATCTAAAAAGGGAAGCTCTCGTAAGTCGATTTCTGAGCTAACAACTGCAACTCACAACAACAACTGACAGCAGATGCTCTCTCTGGCCTTATACAGTTTTCACCTGGTTGTTGAGAAATTTTTAATACTTTCTGCTTCTCGAAATTATTGGAAGGCATATGAGGGCAAGGTACAGTTACAGCTAATATAGTGACCAATTATATTTATTCAGTTATAATACCTATTACGGAGATACAGGGAACCAACCAAAATGTTGCCAAATGATCGCCAATTTTAGCGATGTTTGGTGATTTCTCACCAAATTTGGCAATAAAAATTAAGTCACTCAAACAGTTGCTAGCTTGGTGATATCCTCCCAATTTAGTGAGATAGCCATTTACGCAATGATAAAGAGACTTGCCCCTGTATTCTTATTTTTCTGGCAAAGCATCCCACCTCTAAATATTCATGTTACAGCATACAACATGTTAAAATGTTCAGATTCCTCTAGATTTTCATGTTACATTATGTAATATATTTTAACGTTAAAATTTCATTAAAATCTGTCCATTAGTTATTTAGAAATTTGGTGTTATACAGAAAATTCAACAATTTCATGCACTAAAATAATATAACTACGTATAAAATTCATAACATTGCCCTCTTCCCAAGGACTGCACATCCCAGACAATACAATTCCTGGACAGTAAGCTAATAATTACAACCATGCAAAACCAGTGAAATACTCAAACTATAGACATAACGCAAATCAAATGCTAAACCAACAAATAAATTCATAAATTTACAAATTTATATACAAATATGACTATAATCTTAGTATACTATTTACATTATATGCATTATGGGGACTACGCACTATGGCCTTAGTAAGGGGCTAGCCTGTCGTAATTAAAAACTTTAGGCTTAGATTTGGATGACTTCTGGATCCGAACTACGACATTGTTCAGTCTGCTTAGGATTGTGTAAGGTCTGTTCCAAGGTGACTATAGTTTAAGGAATCTGATTCGATGGAAAGGTCTTTGTCACCTTCGTTGAATCAATATCCTGTATCTCTTGTGCTGAATCAGGTCTCCATCTTCTCCATCACCAAGTTGACTCACTTTCTTGCAAAATTGTGCATCATGTCAAACCATGTTTGGAGATCTTGAATGTACTCCTCACATGATGAAGGTATATCCGGAGACATAACAGTACACAAGGCAGAAGGTCATGACTGAAGAGCACCTGGGATGGAGAATAGCTGGTAGTCTCGTGGACAGTACTTCAGCAGGCCAGTAAAAACAGCGGTAAATTCTTGCCTGTTTCCTGTTGGTTCCTGGAACCGCCAACGAGGGGTTTTTACGGATGGTTCAATTAAATCTCTTTACCATGTTGTCTGACTGCGGATGTAAAGGCGTCATTTGGGTTTTGTTGATGTCGAGTAGCTTGCACACTTCTTTTATAGCCAAGGTAAAATTTCTTCCTTGATCGGAATGTACCTAAAGAGGCACTCCGAAGCTGGAAATCTAATTACCTCTGCTACCATGACAGCCTCTTGATCAGGAAAAAGATAAGCTGCAGGCCATTTGGTGAAGTAATCAATGACAATGAGGATGTATTTGTTGCACTCAGCAGTTCATGGTTGAGATTCCAGGATGTCAGAGATGATGTGTTCAAAAGGTATACCTACATACAATGCAGCTGCATTTCTTTGGTCCTTTCTGATCCCCCTTTTATCCTTTGCATTACTCAAGTAGAAGCACTCTCAAACTCTATGCAGTCTTCATTATTCTGAAATGTCCTCCTGTTGGACTGCTACGTAATTTTTCAGGACATCCTGGATCCGGGGAGTATAAGCTACCAGAGAAATTTTCCATCATTTGATTCACACTCCCGGTACAAGACACCAGGTTTGCAGATGGAATGAGTCCAGAGAGTCCCAATATTGCTTTTTCGTAGGACTATAGATCGCAATTCCAACCCACATCACATCACTGCCACTTCTCAATGTGTGATACTCGATGATATACTGGGCCTGATTCGGTGTGCTTCGTTTTCTTCAGATCCTTACACACTTATCATTTGATTCCAAGACAAATCTAGACTCAGCCATGAACAGAATGTTGTGCCAATCCTAGATCGCCAATTGAGATGTTGAACTATACCCCCTTAATCTTGCCTCTCTGGATTACACGGTTAGTTGAACAAAAATATTTGGTACTCAGGTATAAAGTTCTTTCATGTGAAGCCTTCAGTGCACAATTCAGCGGATGTAGTCTGGCCAAATGATGTTGCAACAATGGATGTAACAGATATGAAGGTACTACATTGATTCCATTTGGCTACTGCAACAATATTAGATCTTCAGGAGGACTGTAAAGTTTGGTTGATTGTGCATATGTCTCTGGACAACTATTTACCTTGTTTGCAATCGTTTCCACATTTGACAAATTACTGAAAATCAAAAAAGATGATATCTTGTGAATAATCAAAAAAGATGATTGACTGTTTTGCTTCAATGTGCCTGAAAGCATTTCATGTTAGTCATTTTTCAGCCACTGAAACACAGGTTTCAACAAAATTTATCTATGGTAATTATAAACACACTGTGTAAGCATTTAAATGAATCTCTTCAAACATACCAGAATGCTGGTGGTTTTCAATAACTGCCTAATTAGCATATAGTCAGACAATCAATCATGATTGTCTGTAAAACGAGATATTTGGTAAACTGCAGTCTGTGTCTACAGTGATTTTCAGCCTACTATGTACTTTCAGTTCAACTATGCCTACAAAAACTGCTAATTAGCCATTACATGCTTCACTTCTAGAAGTCAGCATATGTTTTCTTTAAAATAGGATTTAAATTGATATTATCTGCGCAGATGAACTTTTTCATTATCAATGTAGTTTTCATTGTTTTAATATGCATCACATAGAATGCATACTTCTCTTTAATCTCTTCCCTCCACCCAAAAAGTCAATCAAATGCTAAGAATTTTACATATGACTGTAAAACATAAACAAGTAAAAATACTCAGGAGTAAACCTGCAAAAAACGAATATCTTAAAAATATGTATAAAAAAAGAAAATTACCATTCGCATGTCAGCTAAATGAAGTGGATTTTCAGATAAAACTGCATCAGTGAGAGGGAAGTCTTTTAATAAAAGCCTTTCATTTTTTATAAACTTCCACTGTAATGTAAGAAGTCTTTTTTTGTACAGCATACTACGCTCACCATAATCTTCTACTTTCATATGAGGAACAGCAGAGACATCTATTATATCACTATTCAAAGGAAAAAAAGAAAATGATTTTTACCAACTTCCTGGTCTGCAGAACTGACATATAAAACAAATTTTAATGGAACAATAATTAGAATGCTGTAAATATAAGGTTATTATAACTGACTTAATGGTTACAAAATGATAAATTTTGCACAGTATTGCAAATAAAAAAAAAATGTGTGCAACAGAAAATAAATTATTCTCAAATTTTATTCATAGCACTATAAATACTTGATAGTGCTCTTTTTATTCATATTCAAATGAAACTTGGAATTCCGTCTACATGCATTACATTTTCACACTGATGGTCATCAAAGCAGCTATATAGTAATCTTGGAACTCCTCTATGTTGCTGATAGTGAAGGCACATAAATATTGTCTTTAACATACCCCCTAAAAACACTGGGAATTTTGGTGACTTTGCCATGTTGATTCAAATAGTTCGTAATTTAAGTATGGCAATGGCAAAGTCCGTAAAGAGCTTCTTGGAGGACTTTCTAAGGGAAAGTAGCTCACATTCATGTGTACATGAAAATCTGCCACGTAGCCAGCCTGCTTGCCTAGATTCAAACTAAGACAAACTACCAGCATTCAGCAATCTTTAATTGCTTGGCCACTGGCAGGGCCAAGCAATTTAATAATATGAAAGTCCATTATTTAGGTAATAATTACCATTCCATGTAAATGAAATGCTGCTTCATCACTGACGATTTGGTGGGCAATAAATTATCATCTTACCAGTGTTTCTTATATGAAATTAGAAAGTTTGCTTTTCTTGATATAATTACCTGGCTCAAAATGCTGCAATATATGCAAATTATATACTCTTTTCAATAGCACGTGGCTACTACAAAATTTTAGAAACGGTTGATTGTGAAATACCATGTTTATGGCTACAGCAAATGCTGCTTAATGTGATTGCAGTTAATGTTATCAAACTTCCAAAGTTCTGCCCATTTAAAAACATGGGATATATATCACAAATTGTGATCAACATTTCAGTTAATATGATCAAAATATTAATAAACAAATTTTTTAAACAAAAGTAAAGTTGCCAAATGACACAGAAACATTGCCCAACAGCTTGCTTTTGATTTTAGATGGTGATTTCAAATTCGATAAAAAAGCAACCTTAGTTTGCTGTAAATTTTGAACAACTGTATTGATTTTGAGTGCAATCAGAAATAGGACCATCTTGTTATGACAAAAACATTTCTTTTGATTCCCCCCCTCCCCCCAAAAAATGGATACATATTTATCTAAAAAAAAAATAGCCCCAAAGTTTGTAGAATACCGAAAGACTGCATGACTATATGCTGTTAATATATATATATATAACATATGCTGTTATATATATATTAACAGCATATGGTCACGCAGTTAATATATATATGCTGTTAATATATATATTTAAAAAAAAAAGAAAGAAAACTATTAGTAATCATTAAAAGAAAATGGCTGCTTTAAAGGAGTACAGAATTTACCCATGGACTATAGATATAATTCAAGGCATGGGTGACATCTATTAATTTTTAAAGAATGGCTATTGAGATGAGATAATGAACTGAAGAATGATATATTTCTTCTTACTGATAAGTGCACAGTGCATAATGTAAATGTCTCGCTTAAGCATATTTAAACTGCATATTTATAAACAAATATTATAACCATAGTTCAACCATATTATTAATGGATTAATACAATGATAAAAGAATATTATTGCCATGAGATGAATATTTAAAGTCTTTTAACATGGATGATATGGATGTGTAAGTGAAAATGAATTAGTAAGAAAAACTAACTTTCTTGATGTGCTGTATTTAGTGAACATACCTTCGAACTGCAAATATTAACTTTCATGGCAGAAAAAGACAATAAAGAACTCTTTGAATCAAACCAATTTTTTTTTTAAAAGTTGAAAAATGGAAGTTGAAGAAAACATTCAACTAACATGAATCATGAGGAATTTAATACATGAACGATTAATGATGAAAAAAATTCAAGTTACAACACTGATGGTAGAAGACAATATCTTTAAATACTTTCTGAAACAAATCTATGTGCATCATGTGATAAACTTTAAATTTTCTTAAGGTAATCAGGATGAAATCGGCGAATTTCTAAAAATCCCGATATGAGGTATACCTTCCAATTATTAAATAAAAGGTACAAATGAAATGCTGCTTCATCAAATAATTTCCTGAAAGATTATAAACAGTACAGAAATAAACTTTTGTGTAACATTTGTAAACATTTCACTAGTAATGACATTTGTTAACATTTTACTAGTAATGTTCTTTTTCTTAAATGCTGCGAAAGTTTTATGTTTCCAGTTATTTTTATTAAATTTGCTAAATTCCTTTGCTATTTTGAAGGCATTGTTTCTTCATCATTTAATTTGGTGCATGTTATCAAATGAACTGAGGACAAACATGATCACATCAAGTGTTTTGCATGATTTACTGATTTTTTTGGGTTATGCATTTTCATGCATCTCTTTCCTGATAGCTTTGATAGAGACACTTCGCCATCACTTTTCACAGAAGCAATGGTTCTTAAACTGGATTAATATCTGCTACATACAACACAAGTAAATTTGTCATGTAAATTTAAATATTTAAGATTACTTCGCTACATAAAACTTTGTATTCTTCATATTACAAAACTTTCTTGAATTCAGCATTATGGCAACAGAACATTACAGATTATTTACATTCTCAAATGTCACTTAAAGGTAAATTTACAAAAACTTTTTTCATGTGTTTTTTTATCAATAGATACATAAACAAGTATTTCAGAGGGAGATAATACATGGAGGGATGAGTCTAATGCTAAGTATTTTAACTGAAAAAGAATGGGAAAAGATTTTTAACTACTTAATTGAAACCAACTTAAAAAATATATCTTCTTTCAGATCAGAATTATTACTTATGTTTCATGACATAAGTAATAATATACTACTACTAATCAGTTTTTTTAAAAACGATTCAATAGTCAATTTTTATGATTTTTGCAAAAATATTCTTAAAAAAAATTGGATCAGAGATATAAACAAAAAAATTCAGTAAACAAAAAAAAGCAGTTCCTTTTCACAAAGAGTTTAATATTATACAGGAAACTTTCAGATGTGAAGGAAAATTTTAATCACATAGAGTTTAATAGTATACAGGAAACTTTCAGATGTGAACTTACCTTGAAAATTAAATATAAGAAATTTTTTAAATAAACTTACACTGCAGTTTTGTGCAATATCTTACTAAATGCTGCTTGCTCATCTCCAAACTGACCAGGTACTGTATCAGAAAAGTCTTGACTATATAGAAAAGAAATAAAAATACTAACATTCAACAGACAGTTTTTTGACAAAAGTAAAATTCAAGTATGTTTCTAAAAGTATCTTAATAGCAAATGCTTTCAATTTGCCAAACAGGGTGTTTTGTAATTGATGGGAGGGGGATGAGTTAATAATAAAGATATCTAATCACAGATGTAGGAAATTACACTTTATTTTGTATTTTATTCAAATGTGAGAATGCACCATTCATTTGTAGTATAAATCATGATAAATTTCATAACTATAAATGTATACATATGCAAGAGACTTTTTTTCATGTAACACAATATAACATTCTAAAATTAATGTTTAAATTATAACACAGTATTACAACAAATTAAACAACTTTAAATATATAATATATATATATACAGAGTGTGTGTTTACACATTTTTGAAACGATTTTGATTTTCTCCATGAACTTAAATATTAATTTTAATATACAATCATGACTGGCATCAAATTGGAATAAGGTTTAATTATCATCTGAAAGCATTAAAATATTCCTTTTTTTAAATGTCATTGAAAATTAAACAATGGATCAAAGGCTTTATTTTTGAGCTGTCCAAAGAGAAATACTCTTACTCAATTATTAAAAAAAATGTGAAAAGCATGTAAAATAATTGATGTAATTAATATGAAAGGAAAGAAACGTCAAAGTTTACATCCGACTTGGAAAAAGGCAAAAAATGCATACCCAATAAAGGTACCTAGAGCTGTTATTAAATCTAAAGTTGCATCTCATGTTTTTAAGGAAAATCTAAGTGCCCCCTACAAAAAAAAAAAAAAAAAAAAAAAAAAGCTGTTGCAAAATCTTTAAATATCTCTGTAGGAAATGTGAAAAAGTACAAAATCTGATTTAAAGCTAGAAATAATAATGATATTCATCAATGCCAAAACATGTATGAAAATTATCTGGCAGGTGAAAAATAGAAATATATAGCTGATCAGGCTTAGATATACCTATCTGATTGCAATAGAAAAAGGTTGATTTACTATCGAAAAAGTTAATATGTTGATTCACAGAAAACAAGGAAAAATTTTCTGAAGGTTTTATGGTTATTACTGGATTTTCTTATAACAGAAAACTAAAATGTCAAAATTAATTCAGATTACTATCGGAAATATGTTTTAACACCTGTTTTTAAAGAAAAAATTCCATCACTTTATCCAAACAATCTTCACTGAGTTAAGTTCCATCGGGATAAGGCTTCAAGCCATACCTCTAAATCTACTGCTCTGTTTTTTGAAAAAATGAGAAATGAAACTGCAGTTGAAGCTACTCCCTTTTAAATGCGTTCCATCCAAGTCCCCTGATGTGTCTCCAATGGATTACTATATATAAGGTCTATTCAAACAAACTCTTTATAAGTGGCATCCCAAAAATGGATGGACTCTGGAAGATTGTGAAGGAGGAGCAGAATAAAATCAACCTTGATGTTTTAAGAAAAGGACTTTAATCTTAGAAATCAAGATGTAATATGATAATTTAATAAAAATGCTATCAGATTGGATATATCCGAAAATAAAATTCTAAGGTTTATTTATATATAAATCTTCATAAAATCATTACAAAAATGTGTGAACACCCTCTCTATATGCTTCTAAATAATATAATTAATGTAATATAACTAGTATTATTTTAAAAAAGTTTCTATGCTCTATTATGCACAAAAGATATTTAAGTTTTGAACTTTCAGCAGATATAGAAAGTTAGAAAAAGATGGCTGCAAGGTTTATTCCCTTAGATGCTAACTCTTGACATTTACTTCCAACTACAGAATTTCTCAAAATAAAATAGAAAATTTTATGGGAAAAAAAAATCTCAGAAGACAGGAGAGGTTTTTTAAGTGAAAAACTGACTTTTTATATAATCATCATACGGAAGAAACTCAAGTTGGTAAAATATTGATTATATTTTTCAAATGTAAAGAAAATTCATAAATCCATCCATCCACTTTACATTGGGGGGGGGGGAATCACAGAAATATTTTGAACCAAAACAACATTCTGTGTTTGAAGACCAACATTTCATTTTTAATAATAAGAAATAAAAACTAACCTGAAATGGTAGTGATTGACAGTACTTTGACTCAAATGTTAGCCCACCAGCGGCCGAGCGGTAAAGTCGCTGAACACTGGTAGTTCGGTCCGAGGTTCGAATCCCGCGAACAGGCTGGCTGCATGGGCGTTTTTATGGTTTTTCCCATGTGTAACGTGTATACGAACCAGTTTCCCTTAGAAAGTTCTCCACGAAGGCATCCCTCCTCTTAGGCAAATAGCCATCGAGGCTTTGCTATAATCACACACACACACTGACTCAAATGTTACAAATCACGATGAAACTGATACTTTTGATAAAGACATAAGTATTGCCCTGAATGCTGCACAGAAATCTGAAAAATACATAATTTATTAAAGTCAGCTATACACAAAGGCTGACTGAAAATTTTTGAAACAGTCTCTGTTTCTAGTATTAGATGTGGCAAGTCTATGCTGGGATTTGCAAAAGGTTCACACACTGATATGATGTTTGAACATGTGGCTAGATAGCAATGGCCATCAATATTTTATTACAGAGAGTGAAAGTACTTACTACATTTTGCTGGAAAGTTGTCTTTATAGCTACATAGCAAAGATGCACTTAATTTTTTTTAAGCTTGACAAGAGCCATGGTGAAGTATTTGATGCACTATATAACATGCATATGGTGATGAAACCTTTAATCATGCTTTTGCTATAAATAAACACCCAAAACAAGTGAGGAATCAGGAACCGGTCTCTGCTGTTGCGTCACACTATTGTGCTCAGGTCTAGAAACTATCCACAAGGATGGGGACAAGCATCGTCATGCAGTTTGTTTGCCCAACATTCCTGATCTCATACTTTGATAGCTATCAGTAAAAAATGTAAGTCTTTTAAGGATTCTCACAAGTTATTCCCTTTAAGTACACATGAATTTTAGTAAACCTCTCAATACTATTTTAATTTTTGGAAGGGCATTTTTTGCCTTCTAACCAAGCTTCTACAGCTGGCAACAATATTTCTTACACACAAGAAGCGCAATTGGTAAGAACATTCCAAAATTTCTTATTATGAAAATATGACAACTATGTAACTCAGTACCTTTTCATTCAAATAATTCTTATAATTTGACAATCTTTAATACATGTTCTATATCTAAAATCTAAAATAAATAAAAAAATGAACCTGAATAATGGTCTGCTTATACTGTTGCTTACAGGATTGCTCAAAAGAGTTGTACGTTCATTTGGTTCTCCTGACTGCAATTAAAAAGTTACTCAATAAGCAATCAAAATAACATATGATTAATCACATACATGATATTTACATAATTAACAATTAAGACATTATATTACAATTTAATATTTCATCAAGATTATTATACAGTTAATGAGAATAAGATATCAGCAAACAGCATCCTGAGTTTTATCTTGGAATAAAAGTAAAATGTATTTTACCATAAAGTTATAATGCATTTATTTTGTTAGTTCAGCAGCATAAACCTCAGCTTTGAAAAATATTTAAGATCTAATTTTGTTCAAAAAGATATTCTATCTTATAACTTTCCCCAAACAATTAAAATTTAAAAATGAATTTATTTAAAAAAAATAGCAGAAATGTTGATTCATATTTCTAGCATGATGCTGACTACAAATAGTTAAACTCTGATATGTTGAAACTTGTAAAAATTAAACTTATCAAAAGAAACTTTCATTGATATTGAAGTTTACACTGTCGCAGCATTGAAAGCCACCCAAAATATTGGCAATTTGAAAGAGTTAAAATTTTTTGAATTTGTCAAATAAGAACTCTTTTGTGATAGTGTTAAAGCATTTGTCACACCTTATGGCCTTAAGTTCTGGCCCTGGCAGAAACTTCCTTGCCAAGGACATGAGATTCTGTCATTGCACTTCTATTCAATGTCCACAGATGTTGCCACAATATAACTGCAGTAGAATACCAAAAGCCTAATGAGCAATCAATCAGCAACCCTCTCGTGGTCCACCACAATGGTAGATTTTGAATGTGAAGGAAACTCACATCTCCACCAGCCCAACTGAGAAAATGATGAATTACATCACTCATGCCCATGGTGCCTCATTCAATAATGTTCAAATGGGCCCAATTAGCCATGCCCACGCATGAAAGCAGAGCAACAGGCCACCAATGCAATGATTGAACATATCAATGCAGCAGATCGCAACCATGCCTAAAATACATTTTTTATTATATAAGATTTGTCATCAAATCGTAACAACTAATCTTACCTCCTCATATTGCATAATGATGCTATGGAAGTGTACGTGGATATCCTGGCAGTCACTCACACACACAATTTGAAAGAGTTGAAATTCTTGAGTCCATCAGATAGAAGCTCTTTTGTGATGGCCGTAAAGCATTTTACTTACACGACATGGCCTTAAGTTCTGGTTCTAATAGAAACTTACTTCCAAAGGACATAGGTCTACATCTCTGGGCTTTGCACTTCAATTCACTGTCCAGAGATGTCACCACAAGCTAGCAGATGTAGAACATAGCACAGCAAGCAATCAATCAACAAACCTCTTATGGTCCACCACAATGGTAGAATTTGAACATGATGGAATCATGCTCCTTCACCCACCTACCTGAGAAAATGATAAACTGCATCACTTGTGTCCATGGTAGGCTCAACTAATTATGCCTATGGATGGAAGCACAGCAACAATAGCCCACCATTGTAACGATCAAACACATCAATGCACAACACGGAGCCTGCAACCCTGCCTAGAACACACAAGCTCTAATCATGACAAGTCGCATATCCTCATTCAGCATAATGATGCTGGGGAAGGATGTGTGGTGAACTTGAGAGCCACTCAAAAGATTCGCAGTTTGAAAGAAATGAAATTCTTGAAGCAGTCACATGGAAGTTCTTTTGGGACAGTAATAAAGCATTTCACTCACATGACATAGCCTCAAGATCTGGTCCTGGCAGAAACTTCTTTCCAAAGAATACAGGACATTACACTTCTATTCAATGCATAGATGTTGTTACATGCTAGCAGCAGTAGAACACTGAAAGCACAGTGAGCAATCAATCAACAGCCCACTTGCAGTCCTTGAATGTGACAAGAACATGCACCTCAACCTGCCCACCTGAGAAAATGACAAGCTGTGTCACTTGCATCATGATGCCTTGCTCCAAAGTGTTTAATCACGCCCAACTAGTCATGCCCACACATGGGAAGACAGGAACTTAAGCTCATTAGTGCAACAAAGACACATCAAAATACAAGGCTCGTAACCTCGCCCACGCGACACAAACTCAAATCATACCTCCTGATAGTGCATAATGATGCTGGAGAAGAGTGCATGAGAGCCACTCAAAACACTCATAATTGAAAAGAGTTGAAATCTAGAAACTGTTCTTTTGGGATGTAATAAAGCATTTCACTCAAATGACATAACCTCAAATTCTGGCCCCCACAGAAACTTGCTTCCCAAAGACACAGGTCTCTAGCTTCACAAAGACACAGGTCTCTAGATGCTGCTATGAGCTAGCTGCAGCAGCTCATTGAAAGCAGAGTGAAAAATTAATCAACAACTCTCTCCCAGGCCACAGCAGCATTTTAACTTAATGAAGTTCTATTACAGCATAAAAAATATCTTAAGATACATTATTTTGAGGTGAAAGTTGAACAGAGCAATGACAAAGGTAGAGTTGACAATAGGTTAACAATGATTAGTAGGGTTTCAATGAAGACATTTTTAAAACCGGGAAAATTCTACATTCCTCTATGCTGTGAGTATATCTATTTTCAGGGAGGAGGTAAATAATAAAAAAATGTGGAATTAATTAGGTAACAGCAGAGGGTAATTATAAATAAGAGTTCAAAGTACAACAACAAATTTAAATAACAGGGCAGGAAAAACATTTCAGAATAGTTTTGAAAAGCACTGTTATAACTCTACTAGAATATCCTAATACAGAATATCACTAATGTGATTATACATCAGAAATTTATTACGTATGTTAAAATATTGCGAGTTTTTAATTATTATATGCAATGTCTATTATATGTTTTTTCTTGACTGATTCATAGTGATGTAAAAGGTAGAATTAAAATTTTAACTCACTTTTTATGTGAGATAGAAGGCTCAGAAACTAGGACTTCATTAGAAATATACCTGCCTAAAAATTTTATGGAAAACTAAATAAATTTGTAACGAACTTTCTGATTATCCACAACCCTCTCCGAAAAGTTGTCAATTTGTTTGTGGCTATTTTTTCACAAAGTTAATATACAAAACGAAAAAACCATTTTAAAAATGAGTGCACACTAAGAATTTCATAAAAGAGCAATGAATCAATAAAATTTTTTAAAGCAAGAAATAGCCCTAATAAAATACATTTTTCAATAAATCTTTTACTGTTGTTACCCCAGCATTAAAAATGCTGATTTGTTTTCATTAAAAAAAAAAAAAAGTACAACTTCATGGAATGCTAATTTTTGCATTCTCTGAAAAATGTAACACTTTTTTTTAATCAGCTAGTAAGTTCTCCACAGTCCCATTATAATTCCTTACAAGGAAAAAAAAAATGTAGTGAATGCAAAAACAAACACTAATGAGAAAAATTATGAATGTCCTATTTTATGTAGCCACACAAATACATTTGATAACATAATGAGTTCCTAATTGGTAACACAGTGCAATACCTCGTTAATGCTTTTCAGCATAAACAGAAGGAAACATTTGGAATCATTTTAGCCAAACTTTTTTTTTTATGGCACCTATTACAACTTCTGAATTAATAGCTAATTAGAAGGGAAAATCTTTTATCACACTGCTACACATGATGATAATTTAATGTTTTTTTCATTTGATTTATGCATGACTTGAGGAATATCTCAAGGTGATTTGCTTAAAATATCATGTATAGTAGTCTAACAAGAATAAATACTTATAAAACTGCTTGTTTCTTAATAACAACAACAGCCCATTAATCCAAACTTCTAAATGAACTTTTCTGTACTTGCAGCTTATAATTTTTTCTATCCATATGTTTCTGTCTATAACATAAAATAAAAAGCGGTTGTACTTTATTAAACTGTAAATTAAACAACTGAACACTTTTACTGGAAATAAACAAAATTTGATTCACACCTCTGAACATTATTGCTCACTCAATTTCTTTCATGGACAATATGTTTTTATTCATAGACAATGTATATTTAGTTTTAATAATCTGATACAAAGACTGTATCAAAAATAAATTAAACCTAATAAACAGTTTAGCTCAGCAATATTAAAACCCAGTTCAAGAAATCCTTCAAGATTTTCATAACGTGACTTGGAATTCCGTATTTAATCTGATAAATTATAATCGGAACTGTAATTTATGAGATCACTATACATTGTATTTACTGACAATTAAATTTTATTTTCCTTTGAATTAAACAATCAGATATGCAAATGAAAAATCTCAGTTTGAGTAAGAAAATTAACTCTTACCTGTGATTTATTATCACCACTATTGAAACAACTAAAACAACAACCCATATTCCAACAGCATCTGAAATACAATGCATAACTACTGTTATGTCAAAAAATAAAGTCCAGTAATATTGCAAAATGAGATTCAGATTAAATGTAATAATTCTCAAAATGTAATTCAATAGCCCACATTCCTTTCACTCAAAAAAAAAAAAAAAAAAAAAAAAAAAAACTTCTCACTCATCTGATATACTATCCACCAGTATCCTCCACCCCCCCAAAAAAAGACTCCAAGGTTGTTTTTTTTTAGTCCAAAGAGGCTTTGTCCCTAAAGGACTATTGTTTTCGTTTTGCATTGGTTCACTATAAATGTCCGTTTCACCTTTCAAACTGTTGCCACCAAATGTTAAGAGTCCTGCATTATATTTGCAGAAATTAAATAATGAAAAATCTGCATAAATGTATGCATATTTCTCGCATTGTTATAAAACAATGGTACATAGAGCCATCGAATTTTGAATGGTGTAATCATACTGCACCAAATTTGAAATTTGGAATTTGTTTTAATAGCGATTTCATATTTTGTAAAGCTTTAACGAATTTCTGATTAAACTCAAGAATTTCAAATCAAGCAATGACAACGTTGTACAGAAAAAACATTTTTATCTCCAGCGCGTGAGACTCTGTATCGGAAATTCTAAAGATATGCTCAATTTAAAACTATTTTGCAATATTGCTCTTGAAGGCTCAGGTGCGAAGCACGTTCAACAGGCTCCTAGGCTGAGAAAGCCACATCCTGTGTGTAGTGACGTGTGGAAAAGCATAGCTTTGCTAACATAGCATTGGACATTGCTTCTGAACTGAATTTTATGGCTTAAGTGCAAAGAATATGATTTTTAATAAATAAAGGTAACAGACAAAATGTTAATAAAAAAAAACACCTTTGGACGTAATTTAAAATCTGAAATCAGTGTGGCATTTAAAAGTTGAAATTTACACAAGTACAGAAAGAATGGTAATGAAAAGACAGCTGTTTATTGGTGTAGTAAAACTTAAGGCAGTCAGAAAACTGGACAAGGTTGAGACAATGTAAAAAGTAGTTGACGATTTTGACATTGGACAGGAAGGTGAATGAAAAGGAAAATGAATGGAAATAAAAAAATGATGCAACCTACTTCAGGGCCTATTTTACAGAAAAAGGCCTTGCATTTTCATAATAATTTAAATGAAGGGAACCCAGTGGCGTAGCGAGCATAACTGGCACCCGGGGCAAAATACCTTTTTGGCACCCCCCCCCAAAAAAAACACACTTACAGTAATATAATGTATAGAATATATTCATAATAAGAAAATAATGCAAATAATTATAAAATGCTGAATCTGCCATAAAATACTCTAAAATGTATTAAGAACAGTCACTACCTAACTACACTAGCATTGGATTCGGAAATGTATATGTGTCGGCAGAAAAATCAGACATACGATGATCTAGAATTAGTTAAAAAGGTATTATTTATTTTACTTATTTAGATAACTGTTTTAAAAAAGTACATTTTTTAAACAATTAAAAGTTTAATATATATTATAGATAAGCAGATATATTTAATTATAACAATATAGTATACATTAATATAATTAATTACTATGTATACATTTTTCTTGTCTTGTATGAAGCAAATTTATCAATTACCTCATCAAAGTTGGTCATTTAAAATTTTTCTCTCTCCACATTTAAAAATGCTAGATGGCTTTGGGGATCTTGTCCTATCGCTGATTGTAAATATGTAAAAATTTATTTTAATTTGCTGAAAAACTTTCATAGCATTTGATAATGAAATAGTAAGGAGTATTTGAAGAGCTACTCTTTGGTTTGGAAAAGCATTTTCTGCATAGATCTGTAATGGAGTTTTAAGTTAGTTTCTTTTCTACTGCAGAAAACACATCTTGCAGACATTCACTGCTCAAAAGAATTAGGGGACATTGCGAGTTCAGTATTAAATAACCATATAATCGACAACCTTTTAAACAAAAGGAAATAGAAGAGATTATAAAGAAAAATTATAACGTTTACAAAGTTGGGAATATGCAAATTTAGTCTGTGACGTTGAAAACTATGTGTTTTAGATAGGGAGTAAGGAGCGACCTGCAGCAGTCCTTTTTAGTAGGAAACTAAAAACTACTGACACGCGTTGAATGCTTTGTAGCAGTGAATATACAATCTCTCAGCAAGATGACTTAGTTGAATTGGTAACCAGGAAAAATATCAGTCGTTTCCAGGATAGTCAAACGCAATCCATTGTAGCGGAAGTGTTACGAGTTTCCCAAAATGTCATTTCCAGACTATGGAATCAATTTTTGGAAACTGGATATGTTTGAGAAATTCGGGACAAGGTCATGTTATCATTTTAAAATTAAAAAAAAACGTGAGTTATACATGCATTTTGTTTTAAAAAAAATAAAAATATATCTCTGTTTTAGAGAAATAAAGTGGTCAGAAAGAATGTTTTGTATGCGAAGATATTTGGTTGATGTACTGCAAACATTTTATTACATATTTTGTCAGACAAATCAAGAAAATAAGTAATAATTTTATATTGCAATAATTATTAATTTTAAATATATTTTCCAGAAATCGATCGAAATAAAAACTGAAATTTTCTGGAAAATCTTCTTTGGAGACCATTTGGCGCCCAGGGCATCATACACCCCCTTGCCCCCCCTTCGCTACGCTACTGAGGGAACCTATATTTAACAGCAAGGGTCTGTCAGTTTGTTGGAGAAAAAGCAAAGATATCCGTCAGTTATGTGTTTGCGGTGAAAATTTTGAAGAAAAGAAAGCATTCAAGAAAACATTGCCAGGAATTAACCCTCTGAGCAGAATGACCGGCTCTATCTGATCATGAGAATTTTTGTCACTTGATACATATTAGCTAATAACTTTACATATTTTGCTTTCTTACTTTCTTTAATGTAAATGTAATTTTAATGAATGTAAGTTTATGAAAATAGAGGCTAAAATAAGTAATTATATAAATTTAGCTAATTAATATTGCATAAATGCAGGTTGTAACAAAAATACAAAAAATATCAGAACTAAGAGACTACACGTCAACGGTTGTTCTGCACAGGTTCTTAGTATACGTATATAAATCTTAATAATAATTAGACACAGTGAGTCTATTAGAATATCTGTTTATAATTTCAATCTTTATAGAAAAAGAAATAAAACTTATCTACTTGAATTCTGCACATTCTTCTTGACGAATAAACACTTTTATTAATACTTGACATCAGCATTAAAACAGTTTCTTTGAAGTAAAGCAGGAACTAGGATATTTTGCTTTCTTACTTTCTTTAATGTAAATGTAATGTTAATGAATGTAAGTTTATAAAAATAGAGGCTAAAATAAGTAATTATATAAATTTAGCTAATTAATATTGCATAAATACAGGTTGCAAAGAAAATACAAAAAAATATCAGAACTAAGAGACTACCCGTCAACGGTTGTTCTGCACAGGTTCTTAATATACGTAGATAAACCTTAATAATAATTAGACACAGTGAGTCTACTATTAGAATATCTGTTTACAATTTCAATATTTATAGAAAAAGAAATAAAACTTATCTACTTGAATTCTGCACATGCTTCTTGACAAATAAACACTTTTATTAATACTTGACATCAGCATTAAAACAGTTTCTTTGAAGTAAAGCAGGAACTAGGATATTATTCAATAAACAGCACAAAAATACAATATAATAATTCAATTCCATTCATATCAACATTAAATTCATAGAACACTTCTATCACTAAGCAAACACGGATCAGTACGTGCATGGCAACGCCAGAAACTGATGCCATCCACAAAAAAAAAAAAGGATGCATAAAACTTGCGTCATTAAAACATTAATACATTAAAAGTCTTGTGTTTATTCAATAAAGTTATTCATAAAACAGTCTCGTGGATATCTTCCAAAGTTTATTGACGGCATTACGTAACATTCTCCCACCTTGATTTGCCACCTTCAAGGTAAATCAACAAAGTTCGAAAGTTCAACAGGTATCTCTTAGATATCTTGATTACCCTGCCGCTTCTTGACGTCTGATTAGCTGCTGAAACATCCTTCTGAATTGGAATGTCATTCCGTGATGTTGCAGTTGCGTCATTAGTAGGATGTTGATCTGGTATAATGGGATCCCCAGAAGAATTAACTTCTAGAGGGTAAATCTTTTGGACTGGACGAACGAGATGACCAAGTGGAGTTTTGACTTTGACGACACTCACATGGCCGTCTCTCCCTGGATGCAGTTCTTCAATCACTGCAAGTGGCCAATTAAGTCTCTTCTGGTTTTCAGAACCAACAAGGACCACTTCTCCAACTTTGAAAATTTTGTCAGATGTGCCAACTTTTTGCACCAACTGACCTAAATATTCTTTCCGAGATCGTAGTGTGAATTGTTCACGCAGTTCTTGGCAATAGCATTCTCTCTTTACCAGTTTGTTCCTATCCAAATGATCAAGATCAGCCGTTCCAATCTCTTTTACATCTTGAAGAAAGTTGGATGGTGTTAGAGGCCTCAACTAATCTGCATCGTTGGAGATGTATGTTAATGGGCGACTGTTAACGGTGGCTTCTGCATCGCAAAGAACTGTGAGCAGTTCCTCATACATAACAGACGACTTACCAAGAACTTGAACAAGTACATTTTTCACTATGCGAATTAGTCTCTCCCCCAACCGACCCATCATGCTGTGGTTGGGGGAATGAATTTCCAGTTAATTGGATTTAGAGTTTCAAGAGCAGCTATCTTTTGCCACACAATTTGGTTCAATGCACCAGAGACACGGATAAAGTTCGTGCCATTGTCACTTTAGATTACCGTCGGACGGCCTCGTCGAGCGATGAATCTTCTCAACGCGAGTGCACAGCAATATGAATACCCTTAAGTGCGAGTGCACAGCACTTAAGGATGTCACGATCTCCAAATGTATTGCTCTGCAGACTGCGCAGGTAAACAGCAACACCCAAGCTTTAGTCCCTTTCCTAAGAATAAGGGGACCACACAAGTCAATTCT